GTTGATACATTTTTGTATCAACTATTCCATTAGGGAAACACCGCCGCGGTATTTCAAAGGACAACTATTCCATTAGGGAAACACCGCCGTGGTATTTCAAAGGAGTAGCACCCCACAGAGCCCTGGATCAGCTGAGGACTATCCAGCTGATCCCAGGCTCCACAGGGCACTGCCCCTTTGAAACGCTGCCGCAGCATTTCAAAGCAGCAGCGCCGCATGAAGCTGTTCCCGGGCTCTGTGAAGTGCTGCCCCTTTGAAACGCCATCTCAGCATTTCAAAGGGGCAGTGCCGCACATAGCCCAGGGTCAGCTTCATGTGGTGCTGTTGCTTTGAAATGTTGCGGTAGCGTTTCAAAGGGGGCAGCACCACATTTGCTTATTGGATAGTTGACAAGTCGACTAGCACTTAACATCCTTAGTAGAAGGTGTTTTATTCTGTAAATCCAAGTATTGGAATAGCCCCCATCTTTGGGGATTGTCTGCCTCATTCTTTGCAAGTTTGTCCTGGGTAACCTCAGTGTGGCTCCCCTAAGACTCCAGTCACGGTAGCAATCCATGTTTCTAATGTAGCCTGCTACAGCACACTGGATTATTTTGCTAGGACTATGATGGGGAAGGAACCTGTGGCAAGGATGCAGCCCACAGCTTCCCTTGATCGGGCATGTGAACTGTGCCTGGTAGGGAGGAGGAAGTGGTTCTTTGTGCTGCAGGAAAGTGCTCTGAGCAGGTACCCCCTTGCCCCTCCCCCCACCCCGTTGCTCCCATTAGCCAGGAATTCAGCCAATAGAAGCAGCAGAGGGCAGTACCTGCAGGGAGCACTGTGCCCCCCTGGGAGCTGCACAAGGTAGGCACCACAATGCTCTGCCCCCTCCTGCTCAGGCCCTACACCCCCATCCCTATCCCACTTCTGCACCCTACATTCCTCTAGTATTTCCCACCTCCTGCTCAGACCCTGCAGCCAACCTCCAGACTGTTCCTGCACACTCTATCCTACACATACCCTGCACCTACACATATCCTTCCCAACCAGACCCCACACTCCCACCCTGCTCCTGCACCCTACCTCCTGCTCAGGCTCCATGCCCTCACCCCTATCCTGCACTTTACCTCCTGCCCAAAGTCCCCAGCATACTCTTGCACCCTACCTCCCACCCACATCCTGCACTCCTACTCCCAGCCTGCTCCTTGGTAGTCCCCACCTGCACACTTAAGTCCTCATATTTGGCCTCACCCCAGAGCATAGGGGGATTACCAGAAGACTTAATCTAGCCCAGGTAAACCCTGAGCTTTGCTGCCTTGCCCTCTCACCTGTGGGGGGCCAGAGCTTGAGGGGAGTGAGGTGTCTTTTTTTACCTCCTGCTTCTCAATTAGGGGTCACATCTGTGAGGGTCTGTTTTCTCTCTTTGGGGCTGGGTCAGTGAGGTGTGGTTTGTTTTTTTTGCTTCTTGTGTGTGGCCCCCAACTGATTTTTTTCTGTGGGCCACTGGCTCCCAACCCAAAAAAGGTCCTCACTTCTGTGCTAGGATTTAAGAGTTTCACAAGTAAGGATTCCTTTGCCTTTTATATTCAGGAGCCAGGGCTGATTCCCATTAAAGTCACCAAAAGAACTCTAGTGGACTTCAGTGGACACTGGGACCTGTCCTTAGACCCTCTCTGCATAGTATCTACGTGGACACATAAACTTGTGTGCCCCATCCTTTACTCTTAAAATTGCCATTTTTCATGTAACATTGTAGAGTAATTTCCCCTTAGCTATTTACATTTTTAAAACATAGCAAAGGGCTGATTTTGATGGCTCTTAGTCATTGAATACACTGGAATATGGATATGACCCATAAGTAAGTTAAGCAATGAGGAGTCTGGGAAATGATTATGATGCAATATATTCATATTAGTCTTTCCTGTTTTTGCTAGGGTAGAAGCAACGAAATGTGTAATGTTTTGCATAATATACCCTCTTTCCTTGCTGAGAGAGGTAAGTAAAAGTTTCATGCTAGCACTCTACTGAGTAAGTGCTGTGGAAAGTGGCAGTTGCACCATTTGAAAAAGCTGGGGAAGGAGGAAAAGCAGGTGTGAAAGAAAATAAAATAGCCTCATTTTTAATACACTAATTTCAATCTTTCAATAAACAATAATCCAGCAGAATGAGGTTGTTGCCTGCATGTACAATCTCTACTGATGGCACAAACTGCTCAAATTCTGCTGTTTCTTATCAGTAAACACGTTTGGGTGGAATAAAAATTTCTTATTTCTGATTATCCTTTCAAAACCCTAGGTTTGCCCAGCCCATGGTATATTATCCCTATGGCACATGGTTTTAAGGCTAGTACTTTTCTGTGTGTATGGAGTAGGGAGTGAAGGATTTGTGTCAGCATAGTTAAAACCAATTGCTTTGTCTTCTAATTTATTTATGCAACATACTCATGGGGTATGTCTACACAACAAATTGCGTATCTTATCTCAAATCTATTTTGAAATAGCTTATTTTGAAATCTGGCATACCTACACCATGCCAAACTTCAAAATAATGTGCTATTTCGAGCTATCCCTTATCCCTCTTGCAAAAAGGTTTACTAGGATGGCGAAATAGCTCTCCCGTTATTTTGAAAAATAGAGCAGTGCTCCTGGAATAATAGGAAAGATATAGTCAGGTGAAGAATCCAGCAATATAGGTTTTTGTACTGCTGTGAGAGGCATTCTTGGCATTTCAGCAAATTCTATTACAGGGCTGCATTTTGTTATCCCTGAGGTAATTGGACAGGAAGGGGGGAAACAAAGTATGTTATTTCGGTTATTTTAAGCCACGCTTTCTAGCAAGGGATCCCCATTTCCTGATAACGAGCTTGAGCAATCACCCTCTTGTTTTTTTTCTGAAAGGTATTTACAATTATGTCAGCCCAAAACATATTATTTTAAGTTGATTGCATCTCAAATTTCTGAAGCATACCAATCCTCTAGTAGTTCCTGTATTATCATATACCCACCAGAATGGTATATTTTTAAAGATGGAGTTCCATACTCGAGAAACAATCTGGAATCTATTCAGCGAACTATGAACAATTTACAGTTGCTTGTTCTGTGTTTTTCATCATTTTTTTTCACCAAACTTGTTAATGATCAAAAGGATTTATGTTTCAAGCTAAGGCTTTTCATTTCTGCCCCATGCCCACCCTATAGGGAGGTAGGAGGCTGAATTCTCTGGTGTAACAAGAGACTTCATGGCAAGAGATTGGATGCCAAAACCCTTCTCAAACTTTACAGCTCAGCTCATTAGGGGTGTTAAGAAATATGTAGTTCATTAATTGTCTAGCTGACAAAAATTTTGTTGACTACACAATTAATTGATAAGGGTTAGCCACTGGTCCCAGGAGCTACCCTCGCTGCGGCTCTGCAGTCAAAGTATTTTAGGAGCCAGAGGGCGGGCAGCCTGGTTCAGTACTGGCCCGCGTCAGGCCTGGGAACTGCAACTCTGAAAAGTATTTTAGGAGCCAGTTAATCGTTTAATCAACTCCATTATTACATCCCTAAAGCTCATGCCCTCCTACTGCAGCACCAGAGGCAGGTGGAAAACTCTGAAAAACCATGATGATTTCAATTACTGGCAAGGGAAGGCAAGGTTGCTTCTTGAAGAGCAAAAAGGGGTATGGCCCTAGCAGTGCACGGATGTCTTGAGAATCTCTGGGAATATCAATTGTATATCTGGCCCTCCACTGAGGGTCAAGATATTCAGGTGGACGTCAAGATATTTAGGTGGACGTCCAGTACATCCAAACAACTCCCTAAACACCTGCTGGGACGGCCACAGGCTTTTCAGTTGAATCTATCCCAGCACATCTGGAGTATGAAATGAGGTAAAAAAAATCCACATGACAGAATGCTGACAAGAAAATCTCTGTGGGTTTGAAGACAATAGCAAGGAGAATGGCTCTTGCCAACTTTGTGGCTTCTTTTCCTTGCTTCTTCCCTAAGATCCTCCAACATACAGTGTTCATGTGAAGGGGCATCTGCAGGGTTGGGTAAGGATGAAACCATGATGCTATACTGTCTTTTCCTCTAACAGAATCTTGACCAAAGGGAACAAGTTTTCTGTTCCTTCCATTCTCTCAACAGCAAAAAGAGGTGACAACTAGGCCCCTCTGATTGGGCAAGGAGAACACAGGGGAACACAGAATATTATGGGGAAACAATCTGGTATTCAGACACATCTATTTTTATTCATTTGTGTATCCCTGCCTTACTTAGTGAATAATTTTTAAAATGCCTTGGTTTTTGTACAAGATTAAGAATGTTCACCTGTGCCTTAAATAAATGTATGTATGCTTTGCTTTCCTGACAACTGCAACCAGCATACTTAGGGTGTCATAAGCAGAGCCATCTTGTCCATTGGACAGTTCAGGGCAGTTGCTCTGTGGCCTGCGCTTTAGAGGGCCCTGTGGTTAAAGGAAATGCAGGACTTGGTGGGCATGGGGGCCGGCAGCAAAGTGACAGGCCCCACCTTGCTGGCTCCCAGCACTGCTCAGGAGAGGAGGGGTTGGGCAGGACAGGAAGAAGTGGGGATGGAGGCTTGGGGGAAAGGGCAGAATGGGGGCAGGAAGAAGTGAGGTGGGGGGCAAGGTTTAAGGGGTTGTTCTGGGCCCCATACCTTTCTAGGGATGGCCTGGTTATCAAAACAACCATAGTGGGCCAGACCAAAGCTCATCTTATAACTGTATACACGGTTACACTTTCACATCTCTAGTTGGGATAATGTTTTTCTATGTGCATTACTTTATCAACATTAGATTTCATCTGCCATTTTGTTGCCCACTCACCCAGTATTGAGAGATCTGTCTGTAGCTCTTCGGAGTCTAGCTGGGACTTAACTATCTTGAGTAGTTTTGTTACCATCTCTAAGCAAGTTTTGCCACTTCACTGTTTCTCTCTTTCCAGAGAATTTATGAATATGTTGAGTAAGACTCACATGGATGTGTCATTTCAGAACTGTAAATTGTTAGATTTCCATTTCCAGTCATATATGCCACTGGTTTATTTATACCTATTCACAAATATATATACCCATGTCCTAAATTACACGTACCATATAATACTTTTTATAAAAAGTGGCATGAAAATTACTCACCACAATTATCTTTAAATGAATAGATATGTAAAGTGCCAGATACAATCCTTTTAAAAACCTGTTCTAATTAAAACAAGCGTAGTGCCCACTTCTGCAGTAGTAGCTCTTTATACTGAAACGTTTTCAGTACCAGAGCAAGCAGCCCATTTTCACCATACAAGCGGGAAGCTATTGGGCATACCCTTTAGGTCTTCAATTTCAAGTCTAAAGGCTTCAGAAACTGTGGCAAAGGCAGATTGTCCAGTGCCTCTGGAAACTGTTCAGGTGAAATACTCCTAATTAAGACACGCATGGCTGTGATGAACAAAGATGTAGGGGATAAGCCTGCCAGCCATTGGAATCTGTTCTCTCCCAAAAGGTCCTGCCAAGGCTGGCGATTATCCAGCAGTTGCTGTTTCATTGAAAAGTGAAGTTCCTGAGGCATGAAGAGGAAAAGGGAGTCCAGCAAGAGGAGCTTGGAGCGCATGTTCACTGGTGGAGTCTGAGAAATCTGCTGGAGCAAGATGTCCAAGGGGGTATTCCCAGTGCAGTCACTTAAGCAGGGTGATGCCCCATGAGCAAGCAGTAGAAGCAAACATTCAGGTCTCGAGAGTTCACAGGCCATGTGCAAGGCAGTTTTGCTGCCTTCCACGCGACTGCATCCCCTGCGGTCCAAATAGCTGGCTCGCTCACACTCTGGGAAACCTCTGATGGCTTTCAGTATTTTGAAGAGGATGTGGGTGCGGTTGTAACGAACTGCCATAGCTAGGTGAGGAGCTGATGACTGGCAGCAGCTGAAGTTTTGGCTGGGTATAGCCAGGGCACTCTGAGGAAACTTACTCAGTAAGTATTGGGCATAAGGTTGGTGATTGTGCACCAGAGCATAGAGAAGAGCTTCAGAGGGAGAATAGGTGCTCACCTTTCCACCTTCTTCCCAGTGAAAGGCTTCCATTGTCCTCATGTCCTCCAGGAGCCACACAGGCAGAAGGTCCCTCACGGCCTGGTAAAAGGCGAAGGAGGATTTCTTGCATTGCTTTTGGGACTGGGCATTGTGGCTGTTGTAGCTGTTCAGCCATTTGACATTCCAGGGCATCGCTGAGCTTGGGTTTGACTTTGTTGTCAAAATGCCTCATTAGGTCCAAGACCTGTGGAAACGCTTCCGAAAAAACAGACCAAAAACGTGATTTAATGATTACTACTATCCCTTCCCCAGTGAACCTAGGGGCAGCACAGTAACACAAACCTCTCCCCAGTTAAGCTCAGATCTTTTTTTTTTCTTCTTTTTTCAAACTCCAGTTGTGCTTTTAACCACAGTTAATTTCTAACTTTTATGTGGTGGGCAGGAATAATTCAGATTTATCAGCTCTGCAAACTGAATGGTCCAAACTGAAACGTTCTTTCCCAAGGCCACAGAGGTCTCTTCACAGTCACTGTCCTGTTTAAACTGCCTCAAGGCACTTTTCAACCTTGTAGGGATGTGTCTGAGTCTAATGATTTGCTTTGGCGTCCAAGAGATTAAGAACAGTGCCTCTCCTTGTGAACAAGGCTTTGTCACTTTGGAAAGGGTACTAAGAAAAGAACTGGTGTTTCTCTAGCTTTGTACATTTTTGGCGCAGAAGGGTACATATTTTCAGTTATATATAAAATGGCAGTGACGCACCCCCTCGCCTTTATCTGAATTACAGGCAAACAAAGCAGGGATAAGGTAGGAAGTCCAGAGCTGGAAACTCAAGCAGACAGATCTAATGTAACAAGAAATTACCAGCTGCAGTGGACTCAAGCTTTTTTCAAATGCAATATCTGCTGATAAATCTGACTGAGCAATGACAAAGTGAATCATTAGATCAGACACATCCCTACAAGGTTGAAAAGTGCCTCAGTCCATCTCAGGCTAATATAAATTATAATTTTATAAATTCTTCATCTCCCCTCAGCCCCCTTCCTTACCCCACAAGAAATTACCAGCTGCAGTGGACTCAAGCTTTTTTCAAATGCAATATCTGCTGATAAATCTGACTGAGCAATGACAAAGTGAATCATTAGATCAGACACATCCCTACAAGGTTGAAAAGTGCCTCAGTCCATCTCAGGCTAATATAAATTATAATTTTATAAATTCTTCATCTCCCCTCAGCCCCCTTCCTTACCCCACCCCTATCCCCACACCTCCCTTCCTTTGCCCCCCCAGCCCCACCCCCTATCCCCACACCTCCCTTCCTTTGCCCCCACAGCCCCGCTCCCTATCCCCACACCTCCCTTCCTTTGCCCCCACAGCCCTGCTCCCTATCCCCACACCTCCCCTTTGCCCCCACAACAGCCCCGCTCCCTATCCCCACACCTCCCTTCCTTTGCCCCCACAGCCCCGCTCCCTATCCCCACACCTCCCTTCCTTTGCCCCCACAGCCCCGCTCCCTATCCCCACACCTCCCTTCCTTTGCCCCCACATCTGCTCCAATCCCAGAGCTGCCTCCCTCCCCCTCGCTCCGCTCCTGTCCTCTCCGCCGAGCCCCTTCTCCCGCCCTCTGCCTCCCCCAGGTCTCCATCTTTTCCCTTCCTCTTCCCCTCCCCGCCGCCGGCACCCCGCCCTTCCTTTGCCCCCACAGCCCCGCTCCCTATCCCCACACCTCCCTTCCTTTGCCCCCACATCTGCTCCAATCCCAGAGCTGCCTCCCTCCCCCTCGCTCCGCTCCTGTCCTCTCCGCCGAGCCCCTTCTCCCGCCCTCTGCCTCCCCCAGGTCTCCATCTTTTCCCTTCCTCTTCCCCTCCCCGCCGCCGGCACCCCGGCGCCGAGCCCGGCGCGCTGGCTCGGGGTCCCGGTGGGGCGGGCCGCCC